GTCAGCGTAAGATAGAATAAGAGAGGAGGGAGGGGGGGAAGGATTTTCGCCGCGCTAATAGCGCGATAAGGAAACCAGCAAGGAAAATCTTGACGCGATTGTTACAGCGCAATAGGAAACGGGCGCTTGAAAGAACAGATATTAATGTCGAGTCTACCGTATCGCGTAATCTACCAGCTGGTAGATTACACAATTGAATCTGATTTCCTGATTAGAAACAAAATCACTTGTTTCTCTTGTTTTTTGTTTCTCGATAGAAAATAAGAAAAATGCGAACAATTTTATTGAGAGTGAAATGAAAATATGGAAAGAGTAGCTGTGATGAGCAGCCGGATCGTAGCGAATCGCTTGCGACAGAGCGAGCGCGATCAAATTTGCGCACGAGTGTTTTTTCAATCGAACGAGGATGATCAAATTTGCGACTGATCGCCGCCGCGGTTGTATAAAGCGATACTATGTATTTATAAGCTGATGAAAAAAGAGAGAGAGAAAAAGATACGCGTGCGATCGCGGAGGAGGCACCGTGTTGTCGCAACCGCAGCCTGTCGTGCGATACGAGATAAGAGAGCACCGGGTGACTACAAAATATTGACGACGTCAGAGGGACTTTATCGCGCTTAGTGTGCTTTTCGCTCCCGCGACCGAAATGCGCGGTTTTTTACCGCTCGCTGGACCGCCATCGACCTCCGAGAGGCCGAACGAACGCGACATCGGAATTTACTGTAAAAGGCCGAAACACACCGAGAGAAACGTGCGAGAGAGAGAGAAAGAGAAAAGCCGTCGTGCCGCTTCGAGAGTCACGGATGGCGATCGTTATCGCCGTCACATGTGCAATGCACGGCAAAAAGTATCGAGACATGTTATAAAAGTGCCGCCGGCTCTTACAGAATCGCTTCTATACGGCACAAAAGTTAGGCGAAGAAGTGTGCGGATGTGTGTCGTAATGCGAAAACCGAATAGCGAGAGACGAATAGAATATTTCTCGGATTCTTAATCTCTAACGATCGTTTTTTTTCGAAGCAATGATGTAAGTGTTTTGTTTTGTTTTCTTACAGTTGATGGGAATTTAAATAGAAAAGTGATCGTATAAAAACATATAAAAGCAGAGCAAAATGGAAAAAAATGAAGAAGAATTTAATATGAATAAATTTTCAAGAAAAGATGGATATATATATATATATATATATCCATCCGATGACGATATACTATATATACAAAACTGATTAGATATTTGACGCGTGACACACACATACACACAGACTTTTTATGAATTTATTGCAGGTGTCCGTGAAATATGCGAGTAAAATGACGATCAGCGCGACGGTGACGTTACGAAAGAAGGAAAAACGTAGTGTTGGCGGGTGAAAGAAAAGAGCGGGATGGGAGACGGACGGGTCCGTTATTTTAACACGGCGTTATTAACTCAATTACGCTCTCAATTAGCAGTCACGCGCACGAGCCGGCATCTCGCAATAATTACGCGATCATTAATGCCGCTGTCCCATGAGAAGGCCCCGAACGTGTATATACATCGCAAACGTACAATTTTCCCGCTCCAATCCAAGAAGGAAACGTTTGTTCTCGTCGAAACAAAATCAACAGGATTTTCGCAAAGTATAAAAAAATCATTATTTGAAAAATTATTCAGACTTCCAAAGAAATCTAACGACAGTTAAATGCGGTAAAAACGATTGGTTTTTTAAAAATCAATCAGTGAATTCGCAAAACGATCTACACAGAGAAGGGATAGAAGAAAGATAACAAGAGAGAGAGAGAGAGAGAGAGAGAGAGAGAGAGAGTGTGAGAAAACAGGAGATAGAAGAAGAGGAGGGACCTGGCTCGACGAGTCGCCGCGACGTGAAAGTGGGTTCCAACTTTCGTGATCAGAGCCACGTGATCGCGAGATCGCATGCCCCGCCGCGACAAGGGCGAAGGGGGCGACGAAAAGGATCCAGACACTGGATCTGGACCCGGGATCTCGTCTGGCCTCGATCGTTTCGCAAATATCGTTCAAAGAAGACGATTCACAGAAAAGCGAGGAACTTATATCGCGGGAACTTGACTTCTCGTTCGTAAATCTTTTTACACATCCAAGTACATTACACACACGCGCACACACACACACACACCTCTCTCTTTACACCTACACACACATATGTATAATCGATCAATCATGGTACTTGACCAAAAAGACATTTGTACACGTACGTTTCGGAGTGTCTTCTGCTCAAATATTGTGTAGCGACATTTCTCAAATCATGACTTAAACGAAATTTAAACAAAACTAAATGTCACTGATAAACCGATTGGCTTACAGATAAGAGAAAAGAGTAATTAAGATATACTATCTGATATGAATTTTTATATAATAGGAAATAAATGATTTCTAAATCTCGATAAAACAAAAAAAAACGAATTATTAGTGTACATGCAAAATCTGTGCGATCACGATAAAAGCAGTCACTCGTCGAGAGCGTGTTACCATTCGTACCAATAACGCCAGCCTAAGTGTCTCTATCTGAAACACGAGTGAGACACGTATCCTTAGAATCAAAAGATCAGCTGACGGACGTCGCTCACGTTATCAAAAGTGCGATATTGTTCGTGCAATGCTTGTACGACAGCACACAAAGAAAGTAACCGGAGTTTAGAATGCTACAATCGATTATTTCTCTACAGACATATCATCGATCATGATATCTTTACCTGTTTTTTTTTCATCTTATGAATATTTTATTTTTACGATCTTATAATGTCAAACTTCTTTTTGAAACTCGTGTAATATTTTATTATTTATCCCGGCGAGTGTTTCTTCGTTGTAATGATATCCTTTTAAAAACAAAATTATTTTAAAATACTATTTATCACGTTTACATCATTTATGAGTGATAACAATTTACACGTATATTTTCCAAAGTTTGAAATATTTATTGAGAAAAAAAAACAGTTTGACCGAATATTAACAGACTTAATATTTTTGCCGCCGCGGTTATCATGTTTTAAATATGAGTCGAAAAGAACATATATTAAGATTAATCTAAAAGCGTTATTATAAAGTAATTTTCACTTTTAACTTACAATTGTATATTTTTGTCTTTGAGAATTCTATTGTTTGCTATTTCGAAATTATTTTCTCGTCTTTCTAATTTCTTTTCAACTTTCACGACTGCGACAGATAAACAGACAGAATCGTTGTGAGAAACTCGTTCTTCTTCGAGCGTCACGAATTAATTTATTCGATCGTTGATTTTAATTCTTGCAGGAATAGCTTCTGTCGATAGAGAGAAAGAGAGAGAGAAACAGATTTTGTAGATTAATTTCAAAAGTAAAAATTTTTTTAATGTGATAATATATTTCAAATTTCATGTATAATTTGTAGACAAAAAGTATATGTTATTTTAGACAAATAATCATATTACTTTGTCAAAAAAATCTGAAATTTCTTGTATCAATATTTTATGTGTAAGCTGATAACTATCTCTCAAATTGCAAAGTTAATTTGCAGTATTTGCTTTAACCGTTGCTTACTCTTATCTAATTGTCGCTATCGTTTCATAATTATTTAAAATAATTCGCAATAATTTTTTTGAATTCAATGTTCAATTTTTTCGACTTCAGTGTTCTGCGATTTCAAAACTCGCGCCAGTATGTTTAAAACTCTCCTTTACAGAGCCTTCGCGCCAAGAGCGCGATGCAATTCAATAGTTTTTTTAAAATAAACTTGCATATACATCGAGCGACCAAACAGAGAACGCGCGAATAATTAAGTAATCGCGTTGGTTAATTTGGCTAATTAATCGCTATCATTAACATTAATTTTTTTAAACGTATAATTGATCGTTTCTTGTTACGAAATGTACAGAACATCATGACTGTAGAATCTACGAGAATGTATTCTGAATTCACCGATTTTACGGTCATAATGTACAAACTATACAGAAATGAAGTGATTGATTCAAAATCTCTAGATCTAGCAAGATAAAAACGTCTGATATATTCAGTTTCGCAAATCTCGGTCTAAAAACGTCTATCCGTGACTAACTTCACGAGCCAGCATCACACTCAACAAATTCAAATTAGCGACATTAAACATAGCGGGAACAAAATATTTTACCAAAAAAAAAACGTGCTAACAAAGCACACGAACTTCCTGTTCTCGACGTACATAGTGAGAGAGAACGTATGTATCAACACGTGTCGAGAAAAGCACGAAGAAAACGTACACACGTCCGAAAAAAAGCCGGAAAAAGGAAAAAAGCACAAACTTTCGGAGACTCACGTTTTAGCGGCTTAGGATTGCTCTGCTTGCGGCGTGACATCCTCTGCGCTTTGCCATCACCCGTTCAGCGTGGACATGTTGCGTTGCGTGGATATGGCGTGACGATTGATGATGAGGCGGTCACAAGGTGTGAAAATGGACGGTCAAACAATTCGCGACACAACAAGACACACGTGCGACAGCGTGGACGAAGAGGAGGAGAGCAGGAAAGAGAAGTTGAAGAGTGACAGAAAAAAGAACAGCTAAAGCCACGACGACGGTATTATACGAACGATTACACGAGACGGGACAAATTGACAAGAGATACGCACTCCCGGCAACGTGAGATTCCGCGTGCGACGTAACGTGACGCAAAGTGAAAAACCGCAAGCTTCGTTAGCGATTAGCAATGAATGCCGGTAGTGTGAACGTCTGCGGTAAATTCATACACATTAGACACCGTTCGACCGCGACCGCTGTCAGCGCGCAACTAAACAAACGCGCAGCCAAACACTCCCCCCACTCCCCTCTTCGGGCGCCGCGGCATGACCACGTGAGACAAGTGGCGGGGGAGAAGCGACGACGATCACCGATGAAATTTAAACGTCGCGCGCATCACGACCATTGACCAAAAAACCACTACTACATATGTACATAGTCCAGAATGCAGTCTGATGTTCAACGTTGTTTAACCACTTGCGGTAGAAAGACGTGCCACGCACGTCGAGATGCTTCTGTTACCGGAACGCCAGCGACGTGTTACACACGTCGTCAGGCGATTGTTGCAGAAAAGAAAATGACGTACGTGTCACGTCAACTGTGACGCATTTATTTATTAATAAATAAGATTAGTATTCATACATATGTAATTTTATCATCAGTTGATATCATGCGTCTTTATATTCTCTTCTGGAACCCCCTGAACGCTGCCTGAACGCGCCCCGAAATGATTTGCACTCGACTGTTCTGGCACGCGCAACCGTAAATTTCTTTGCACCGCAAGTGGTTAAGCACTGAAAGTTTCTGATTTTCAAAAGTTACATATTTTATAGACTTACAAAACTGACAGTAAAGTTTTTGAAACACAATCTAAAAGCAGACTTAAATAGGTGCGCGACGTGAAATGTATAGTATATGCTACTACTATCTTCGGGAAGATTTCGAAAACAAATATGACGCGGCACAAACTCGATGATAATTTGACCTGTATGATAACAGAGAGAAGCCTGAGAGCGGCCATGGCCATAAGAGTTTCTGGCCCGAATTCATAGTCGCTTCTCAAATCTTAGATCTCGTCTCCAATCTCAAATCTCAGTTCTCAGATCTCGAATCTCCAACCTTAAATTTCAATGTGAATAGGTTATCTTGTAATTTGGTAGTTTGTGGTCATAAAGTGTACTATAACAAGCGTATTATTACAAGAGAGAAAGACATGAGTTAATCTAACCTAATCTCGTCTTTATTTTACTTGTTTAACAAGAAATTAAAAGCAAGAGTGTAAAAGAAAAAAATTTTTTTTTAAAAATTTGAAAAAAGTTACTCGATCAGCAAAAATTATTATCAGTAAGTAAGTATAAGTTTTATATCATATTAAACTTTATATAAGAATAAGTAACTAACTGTAATAATGTTAATCCTTTAATATTGAAAAAGCAATACAAACTTATCTTTGCAAACTTATTATTTTTATTAAAACTAGTACTTAATTGAATATTTTATGTATGTCAACTATTTCTTTATTTTTTTATAGTACTTATGTAAGTAATAGTGGAATCAGTATATTGAAATTGACCATTTTTAACATTAATAGCAGTAATGACTACAAAAATTATTCAATAAGAATTTAAATTATTGTTTTTAAATTTGTTACAGGTTAAATTACCATGGAAGATTTAGAAGAGTTTTTGGAATTTATGGATATGGCAGAGGTTGCAAATATAAGAATACCTAAGCGTTACATTCGGGATTACTCAAATCCTTTTGAATTCTTCTATGAAGAAGCATTTAAAAAACGTTTTAAAAATTTAGTAAAGAAGCAATTATTGATTATTTATTGCCAATTATTAAAGATAACTTGGCAAAAAATAGTAACAGAGGTTTACCAGTATCACCTGTTTTGCAACTTCTTATGACTCTTCGATTTTATGCAACTGGCAACTATCAAGTAATTAAGATATTTAATTATTAAAACAAGCATTAATTAAATTTTACTGAGATTTAAAATGATTTTCAATAAAATTATAAATATCAGATTGTTACGGGTGACTTAAGAGGCTTTTCGCAATCCACTGTATGCAGATGTATTAAAGCAGTGTCGATAGCATTTGCAGAAAAACTTCATGAATATGTACACTTTCCTAAAACTCTGGAGGGTCAACGAAACAATATCAAAAAATTTTATGAAATAGCTGAATTTCCAAACGTTGCTGCTTGCATTGACGGAACTTTGATCAAAATTGCGAATCCTGCCAAAGAAATTGGAGAAATCTTTCGCAGTAGAAAAGGCTCATTTTCTTTAAATATTTTGGTAATTATATACAATTACAATATTTTAATTGCAATGAAAAATATTATTGTGCATTATATTTGTATTTGTATCTGTTTAGGCTGCTGTAGAACCAAGAGGAGAAATTTTGTATATCGATGTTCGACACCCGGGAAGCACTCATGACAGCACTTGCTTTGATCGCAGTGCCTTGAAACTGTTTTTTATGGAGAATAGGATAAAAGGTAAATATATAAATATAAATATGAGACAAGAACGTTTTGAGAAAAAGTAAAATTTGAAGATATGTAAAATACGAATGCAATTAGTACTTGATTTTTGTTATTTTGTAGGTCTGCTTTTAGGTGATAATGGCTATAGTTGTCACTCATATTTACTTACACCTGTTTTGCGACCACTTAATCAGGCAGAATGTAATTATAACAAAAGTCATAAAAAAACAAGGAATGTTATAGAAAGGACATTTGGTCGATGGAAAAACAAATTTTCTTGTTTAAAAAGAGGTCTTTTAACCAAGTTAAATACTTCAATTGCTATCATTTGTGCTACAGCTGTTCTGTGGAACTTGCATATCCACATCAATTGCCCAAATAATAATATTTTAGTTGAAGAAGTAGAACAAGAGAATGCAATATATTTAGATCTTGATCCTCCTCGTAATATAAATGGGTTGGATTATCGATTGCGCTTTATTATTCGACACTTTTATTTAAGATAATTATTTTATAAAAATATTTGTAAAATATTGTACAATGATTAAAGAAATAAAAATGTATTATTGCAATTTGTACTTTTTATTTGTCAAACACATTAATCATTTATTAAAAAGTATACATATTAAAATACATATTTAAAATATTTATTTATTTGTTATACATATAAAATAAAATAATTATTTTTAACATAAATAACAAAGCAAAAATAATTAACAGTTTTATATATCACTGGTTTGGTTTGACGCAAAAATGGTTTAGTTGACCAAAAGTCTATAATCTCTTGGTCTTGGTCTTGGTGCACTTATGGCTCTTGGATCCTGAGGGTTAGTCCATACGCCACTCGCTGGCTAAATTGCTCCGTATTTGAAAGATTTGTGATTGGAGTTTAGATGTATGTTGTGTGTTATATTGGAGTAAGGCTTTCGTAAATTATATACTGCACGCATGGGTGTTCTAATTATGAAGGATTGATATGGAATGGACAACTGGTGTCTTATTAAAGGGTGATATTACTGGATTTTGCGAAGTATAACAGTACATGCATTGCTCGTATGTTATCTGAAAAGGCAACGTCCGCAATGCTAATAGGCGGACTGAAGCCGCAGTGGAATAAGTCTATTAGAAGCTTGTCCGATGTCCCTTGTTGTGAAGGGCAATNGAAAAATAGGTGGTCGACATCCTGTTCCGCTAGGCCACACTGGCATAGCGGGGAGTCTAGTATATTTTTCTCAAATAAATGTGCGCCAACTTTGGTATGGAAGGTTCGGAGGCGCGTTACAAAAGTGATAAGTTCACGTGATAACTTGTGTTTGGTTTTTACCCACCACGGGTGGTCTAGGACCGCTTTTTTGAAGGTAAAATACCGGCTGCCTTTATGGCGAGCCTCCTCCAGGAGGAGACGTCGCGCTGCCAAAAGTGAGCGTAGTTTTAAAGAGGGGAAAAAGGAGCGGACCGGGCATTTTTGTTCAGACCCCGGTTCAGGTTCAGACAGAGCTCGTTTTGCATATTCATCCGCAATTTCATTCCCCAGGATGCCTTTGTGGCCCGGGACCCACAGAAATGTTATGTGTTCTAATAACAATGTTCGGACGGTCTGTTTAATTCTATATATTATTGCTATAGACCATGCGGGTCTGCTGATTCGAAGCAACTCAGCACGCTGAGAGAGTCGGTAGCAATTGCACAAGCTGGAAGATGTTGGGATTGTATACAGTTAACGGCATAGAGGATTCCCTCAGCCTCGGCGTCAAAAATAGTTGACAAGTTGTGGATGCGGTAAGATTTGTAAATACGCAGTGATTCCGAAACAACGGAAAAGCCTACACTGGAGTCAGAGGGATCATCAGGATTGGGTCCTGTTCTCCTCGATCCGTCTGTATAGAGGACATGATTGATGTGAAATGTCGCTATCTCTTTTTGGAAAAATTCTTGTAGGTCGTCCTTAGTACTAGCTGCGGTCCCAACTTCAGTGTTTACATTGCAGCGAAAGAAGCGAGTGGAATACATGAAGGGCAATGCCCCAGGCAGGACGTAAGGTTCCACCTCTGTCATCTCCCGAGTAAGTTGGCAAGCCAGGTCAAACAGATTAAACCTGTTGCTCTCACACAGGGGGACCCATTGCGGGCCCATCGACGTAAAGATTGACCGAAGAGGGTGGTTAGCTCTGGCTGCAGATTTAAGAATGTATTTGCGAGTTAGATACTCTCGTCGGCACTGAAGTGGTTGTTCGTTTATTACGTCTAAGAGAACGTTTGTTGGGGTTGTACGCATCAGGCCGCAGGACAGCCGGACGCATACGTACTGAAGTCTGTCAAGGACAAGTCCTTCGCGTTCCTTCAAAGGAGAAAGAACCTGACATCCCCAATCTAAGACTGACCGCACCAGACCCTTATAGGCTGTTATCAGAATACTCGGGTGGGCACCCCATCGTATACCGGAAATAGCCTTCAGTATATTGACACGTAGGAGAACACGTTTCCTAATTTCCGTAATATGAGCCTTCCAGTTAAGAGCGTAGTCTAAGACGACTCCCAAAAATCTGACCTTCCAAGTGATGGGAATGTTGACATTATTTAGAGAGATTCTAATGTTATTCCGGTGAACGAGCCATCTCATATTGCGGAGGTGGTTCAGAGAGAAAAAAGTAACTGAAGATTTCTCCGGGGACAAACGCAAACCTAGATCATTGAGATGAGCATGAAGGTTTGCTAGGGCCACATTAAGTTGACGTGCTATGTTTGCGATAGAAGGGTGGGAGCAGTAAATGACAATGTCATCTGCGTACATTAGAATTTTTACCGGAAGTGGAAGGCACGAGTCGAGAAATGACATATATAAATTGAACAGAAGTGGGCTTAGGACGGAGCCTTGGGATAACCCTCGTGTAGTGTTTCGAGATTGAAAGGGACGGCCAGCCACATAGCCCGACAACGACCGGTGGGATATTACTGTGGAAACGAAAGAGATCACTCGGTCAGTAAATTGGAGTTTTCGCAGAATTTCTAGGAGAGTAGAAGGAATGACATTGTCAAACGCTCTTTCGATATCAAGGAACACGGCGCCCGTGACTTGACGGGAGTTGTTGGCTAATTTAATATGCGAAACTAAGACAGAAATGTTATCGGTACACGATAACCTACGGCGAAATCCAAACTGATACGAAGGAATCAGGCCACAGTTCTCAACCCACCATTCCATGCGTCTACATATTATTTTTTCTAAAACTTTTAATATGTTGTTAGCTAGGGATATTGGTCGGTATGCTCCCCGTTTACCCGGTTTAGGTATGAAAATGACAAAGTATTTGTGCCATTGTAAAGGGTAGGTTTGAGAGGAAAACATGCGATTTAAGATACGAAGAAGCAAGGAGTGTAAAGTCTCCGGAAAGTGAGAGATTATATTATTTGACAACATGTCAGGGCCAGGCGCTGACTTAATTTTTAGAGTAGAAATAACCGATTGGTACTCTTCCCTGGAAATCGGATCAGATAGAAATGTGTTGTCTAGATCCGTCCGGA